AGGCAGTATACAAGGGAATTTAAAAATGCAAATGAGTTATGAAAAGCAAGCCAACAGCTATGGATAAAGCAATTTAGCCAGTTATAATACCATACTCTTAAAATGCCTGGGCAGATACAATAAATCCAATACTGAAAAGGATGCGGTGTCAGCACCAAGCCAAAATGGCAGATAGACGTTCTGTTTTGGCGGCTGCAACTTTGGTTTAAGGAGCCATTTGGCACTAACTTATAATATCTGAGTTTCTAACACTGGACTCCTCAGGGGACCTCGCACAGCAACTTTATGGCAGAGGTGAAAAAGCCACAAACCAGTGGCTCTGAATTCCTGAGGTCCTGGAAATCAGATGATCACAAATCCCAGGCCACTGCCTGCTAAAATGCAGTATCCAGAGCGGCCAGCCTACCCTGAGTCCTTGCTGGTTTTTGGAGGACCCAGGAGCTTAGGTCAGGGATATTGTCTTGGATGCACAGAGGAACAGATGCAAAGCAGTTGCTGTTTTTACTTGGAATTCCAGCACCGTGTGGCGAAGATTGTGTCTCCTGCCGAATGTCTCCTGCTGAAATATACCTCTTAACACTTGGGTCATGGGGCCTGTTTTCCGAAAACTCGTGCATTGGTTGTCCTCCTTTGGCATCAGCATCACTTGCTTTGGAATTGCTGGGGCAAGTCGGTAGCGGCAGCGGCAGAGAGAACGAAGTGGCCAAATGAGACATTTCCACTCTTCTGAACCGGAGAACAGAGCCTCTAAGTGTCTCTTTTGTTGACCTGCTTGTCAGACCCAGCATTAATCCATTTGCTTAAGAACTGCATTGTTTGCTAGTGTGACAACAGGGGCAAAAACAGCAACTATATTAAAGCTGCTCGCTGCATCCTGTTGGCCTATAAATCTCACTTCCTATATGCAGATAATTCTCTCTTTGTACCACTGAGCGACAAACAAGACACGCTCCTCCTCTCTGAACAATTCAGAACAAGAAACAAAAAGGCAATAAGGACCAGGAGTCTTTTGCTGACACTAAGAGTGAACTCAGGTACAAGCTGCCTCTGAACATGCACAAGTGTTTGTGTGAAAGGATGCATACTTGTTGACTTGTGAAGCTCAACCACACAGACAGCACACTTGTTGAATGTTTGTTGTTGTTTAGTCGTTTAGTCGTGTCCGACTCTTCGTGACCCCATGGACCAGAGCACGCCAGGCACTCCTGTCTTCCACTGCCTCCCGCAGTTTGGTCAAAAGCATGCTGGTAGCTTCGAGAACACTGTCCAACCATCTCATCCTCTGTCGTCCCCTTCTCCTGGTGCCCTCCATCTTCCCCAACATCACGGTCTTTTCCAGGAGTCTTCTCTTCTCATGAGGTGGCCAAACAACTGGAGCCTCAGCTTCACGATCTGTCCTTCCAGTGAGCACTCAGGGCTGATTTCCTTAAGAATGGATACGTTTGATCTTCTTGCAGTCCATGGGACTCTCAAGAGTCTCCTCCAGCACCATAATTCAAAAGCATCAATTCTTCGGCGATCAGCCTTCTTTATGGTCCAGCTCTCACTTCCATACATCACTACTGGGAGTTGAATGTTACATGGGAACAACAGCCCATAGGAACATAAGGACACTGTCTTATTCTGAGGTTGGGGAGAGGAAGGGAGAAGAGAGGAAACAGGATTGATGCAGAGAGGAGATGGCTGTGGAAGGCTACTAGCCATGACAGCTATGCTCTGCATCCATGGCTAGAGACAGAAATCTTCTCAGTACCAACTGCTGGAAGTCACAAGAGGTGAGAGTGCTCTTGAGATCAGATCTTGCTTGTGAGCTTCCAACAGCCATCTGGATGGCTGCTGTGTGAACAGGATGCTAGACTGGACGAGTAACTGGCCTGATCCAGTGGATTTTTCTTACGTTCTTATGACTCCACCAGAACTGGTAGGGAGGAATTACTTATGCAGCGTACTTCTGCCTCCGAGCATGTTGACATGACCCCTTATTCATCGGCTGCCCTGTTTGGGCAACAATTATGTCATCACTTAATCGGCTGAATTTGCTATTAGAAGGAAAGATACAATCATCAATAACAACAAATGCAATATTCGGAGCAGCTATCAGGGCAGATCTCCACCTTCCCTCCGTAAAGATTCGGGTTTATATTTAAAGATAATAAAACAGTCGAAGTTGCAGGCACAGTCCTACCACCATTAAAATTCCAGGGCAGCAAAACGTCTTGTACCCGGGAGTATTGTTTGCAATACACCTGTCAGAGGCAGGTGAGGGACGGATTTATGATCATTCCAGGCTGGGTAGCTCATGCAACCAGCCAGGCACACTAATCCATGGAGCGTGAAGTCAAACAAGAATGGCTGTGCAGAGATGCCGAGAGCCTGTCTTCGCGGACCAGACTGCTGTGTTTATTCTGCTAGAATGATCCTTCCAAAAAGAGTTAAATTTTTATTGCTGTGGGAGAGGAGGCCATAAACAAAATGGACTGGCTGCATTTATGTCTGCAATAACCCAACAGGAAGTTTGACTCCCTGCTCTGCCCTAGCACTAAAAGGGCCCCTGTTACAAAAGCATCTCTGCTCAGAGCGAGCAAGTGTGTTTTGAAATAGGATAGGGCTAACTTCAGCCTCTCAAATGAACAAACCTAGAATGGTGGTGCACCAATGTGTTTTAAGAAGGCAATAAATCCTATGCATGTTTCCTTGGGAGTTGCGTTCAGTGGGGCTTAGCTGCAGGTGAAAGCAGTGTTTGAAATTTGCAGGTACATTTTGCACCTGGCTTTCGGCTGCTTGCAACCAAGTGAAGATGACCGGGTGCCAGGATACTGCTTGAGGTCTCCACCATCTAGAGTTGCATGCCTGGGGATCCTTGGATCTTGACTGCTTTCACACACAATCAACTCATCCTGTAGAATTCTAACTGTAATATTTTATCTGCACAATCAGAATGAATTTCAGGAACCAAAACGTTGTACTGAAAAATACGGCTTTCAAGCTGTCTGGCCCCAAAATAGCAACTAACCCTGGTTTAAGGAGCCATTTGGTGTCTAGCTTATATGCCTGAGTTTCTAACACTGGTTCAGTGGGGCTTAGTTGCAGGTGGAATTTCCTAAGCAACCATGTTTGGCCCATCTCCCTTTCGTAATTAAGGGACAATTTGTTCTGTAAGGCTCAGGGCCTTGGTGGATCAAACTGAGTTCAGCAAACAAGAACAGGAGCAACCAGTGGAAACTCCTTCAGCAATTTCCCCATCCTTCCACTGCCTTGCTAAGCATGACTCAGTGCTCAAGTCTGGGTGAGTTTTCTACAATCCGCATCTATGGGGTTCACTGGAAAAATTATTCCTATGCGCCTGACTCACATGGTGAAATGTACCCTGGGCACCAATGGAGAAGTGTACTAAATCAGGGGTGGGCAATCTGAGGCCTGCGATCCCATTTCATTTGACCTTTGACCCCATGTGGGTGACAACGAGGAAGAGAGTAAAGTGTGGGATCACACCCGCCTCTAGCTCTGCCCCTACCCAGTTTCAGCTCCAGACCCACCTGCCATGCGGCCCTTGACAGATCATTCCAAGGCAATGTGGCCCTGGCAGAAAAAGGTCACCCTGAATCATCAGGTGCTTACTGGGGTTTCCCCCTTCAAAAATCACACCCCACAGCCGAAAAAGACTTAGCCCTGGCAGACCAGGCAACCATCTTATGCCCAAAGCACTATTTGATCTTGCATTTAAATTCTGTGTACGAACAGTAAGCATCAAAGGAAGGCAACTCTGAGATTCTAGAACGTAGGGCATCAAATGCAGAAAGACATGGATGTGCTAAGATTTTTTAAATCAGATAAGACAAGCTAGTGAAAACCTTTGATTATCCCCAAACACTGTTTTCGCTGGATTGATGTGGGAAAGGAAAAGGAGACGCACTTATCTTTCAGATAAGCAAAGCCAGTGCATTTTCATTTTCAGCCGCATATGGCAATATTTGCCAAAGTCCTTCTGATGGAGGAAAGTCAATTTAACCTCTAATAAAAATAATGGCTTATTTAAGAGGATGAGCGCCCTGCGTTTTACTCCATCGCCTGGTTTCTTAATGGATACTTTTGCGAGACAAAGCAATTAATTCCAAGGAAACTGGTACTTCCTGGTCCTTGTATAACTGAGACAGGATTCTTGCATTTGCAAGGGCAGAGACTCAGCTGGGGTAGTCATGTAAATAAGACAACTGCTATCATTTCTGAGTAAGCAGTCATAATAAGAGAGAGAAACTGACTTCAATTTGACAGGCATGGTTTTAGCTTGTCATTTTTCATAATTGTGTGATTGTTTAATATTTTCAGGAGGGTTCCAAATTTATTTTGTCAGCACCTCTGAATTTCTGGATGAGAGCAACGACGCTTAGCATTCATACAGCAGTTTTCCAAGGGCTCAGAGTCCTTTGATATACGCTGGATGCTTTCAGACGAAACACTAAACCATGGTTTAGCGCTATGTCAACAATTCTAGCCTCCAGACAGATTTTCATGCACCTCCTCCTCTTAAGTGCCCAGCAGGACTTCAGAAGCGTTTGCTTTTCACTGATGGACAAACAACAGCTAAAACAAAACGACCTTCCCCATCTTGATGCTCTCCAAACGTTCTGGACTACAACTCCCATGAGTTGTAGTTGCCAGCCAAAGCACCTGTGCCTCATGTATGCAGAGGCAGCCATGGTTTTGAGACTCACGTCGCCAACGGTGGACTTTAAGGTTCAAGCACACACACACAAAATCAAGTACAGTACATTCCCACAATCCTAAAATCTCCCCCACCTCTCCAAAAACCTAGCGTCTATCCTGCTGAAAATCCATTTGTGTACCTTGCGTTTCATGCAACCCTGCATTCATAAGGAGAAACACGTGAAGCACAGCAACTGAGCTTATGGACACAGATCAGGGCTGGGGGATCCTGTGGTTCTCTAAATAGAATACTAGAATCACAGAATTGGAGCCCAACCCCCTGCAATGCAGGAATCTTTTGCCCACTGTGGGGTTCGAACCCACAACCCTGAGATTAAGAGTCCCATGCTCTACCGACTTCGCTATCCCAAATGTTGTTGGACTCCAGCTCCCATCAGCCTCTATCAGCATGGTTAACGGTCAAGGATGATGGGAACTGGAGTCCAACAACACAGCCTTTCCATCCCTGATATAGATAGCTGGTAGCATCTGGTGCCAGGGAATTAAGGTCTAGAACCCAGCATGCAGCAATACATTAAAAGCAAACTTCTCTTGGTATGATGTTCTCCCCAAAACTTTCAGAGGGAGGGCTTTCAACATGGGTGCTTCAAAGAGCAACGGCAAAAATGGGAGTACTTTGCAGCAAAAAAATTGGCAATTTCTCTCCCAAACACTTTCACACAGTTTTTCTTATCCCATTATCTTGTTGGCAGGACATTCCATCACAGGTAACCCAAAGTTGACTTCTGCGTCGCTTCAAACTATTTCATGGTACTGTTGGCACTGCACCCTGCTGTGACCGTACCGAAGGTGGTATTGCCACGACAAACACTAACTAATGATTCTCACTTTCGATGACTTGCAGAGATTAAAACCTGAGCCTGTTAGGACCGGCTATACCTGGACATGCCTACATCCATTGGGTTGCTGACAAGAATGATTGCACCTTGTGAACTTCTATTGTTTTCATTCAGGGCAGAATCACAGATTATGTGCAGCCCCACGATTCTTCTGGGATAATTTTTAAAAATGTAAAAACGCAACGCAGATGCAATTTTAAGTGGAAGGACGGAGGGCCGTATACGAGGAAGCTGTTGCTCCCATGGAATAACTTCCCCTCTCTCCAAATATGTTCTAGGGGTTCTTTTTGGGGGGGTGAGGAAAGCATACTGGGTGCAGACAAGGAGAGGAAGCTGAATTGCACAGGCGGAAGTCCTTTTGCTCGCACAACGACCCTGTGAGGGAAATCAATCCAACCGAGAAGAGACGGCTGGGGGAAGACAGTTTCTTCCATCCTTCCCCTCTTGTGCTGTTTTACTGCAGAATACCTGTATGCTCCCCCGCCCCATCCTTAATCAGTTTACTAAACAATATTTCTGTCCTAGCGCCTTTAATTATTTTTTAAAAAATCCTAGGCCGCGTGTACGATATTAACAAAAAACAAGAGAATAAAAACTGATTTGTAGAAAGGACCTTATGGTCTGAAAACAGGGGAGCTGTGTGTACTTTTGTAACCCAAGAAAATACTTAATAAAAACATTTTAAAAAGAGAGGAAAAAACAGCATGCAGTACAACTCCTGAGATCCATGCAAAATGCAGGAAGTGGGTGGGAATAATTGCTAAAAAATGACACCAGCGAAAAGCTGCTTTTTGTCTCCACTGGGGAAAAGATACTGGGACTGGAATCTTTTCCTTGGGTAAATGCAATAGGAGGTGGTACTGCTCAGTGGAGAAAATCAATGGAAGAGGAAAGAGTTTAGAAGCCTCCCTCTCTGTGGGAATCTTCCAAAGTGTAAGGGCATCAGGAGGGTCTTGCTGGAACGTATCAGAAAAGCTCATGTAGTTCAGCATCCTGTTCAGCTGAGGCAGAACACCACCTCAACCTCCATGAATTATAGCAAAAAACGAAGAATCACATAACATGCACTTCTGCCCTCATGGATGGATATGGAACCTCTGCCTTCTGAGCAGATGCTGATTAATGTTAACTTTTAAGCTCACTTTGCAAATTGATTTATTCACAAAAATGTCCCAAGTACGGTCCAGCCATCCGCTTCACAATCTCATTTCACACAACTGACAAAGTTGAGCCTTAGTCTACACACTGTTATTTCCTCTGCAAACTTATGATAATACTTTTATTTCTCCTGCTGGTTTGCGCAGCTTTCAATGTGCGTTATTTTACTTCCTTTAGAAATGTTTTCTTTTGAAATGTTTCTAAGATAATTTTGCTGTGCTAAATGTGCATTCTGTAGTTGTGACCTCTGTCACATTTTATTTTGATAATATTTTGGTTTCCAGTTAACTATGTTGCTTTGAATGTATACTTCATATTTGACTTTCCGTTGTTTTATTCTGGATTGTTTTATTTGATGTCTTAATGTAGGTGGAAAACAGGCTTTGAGATTCGTTTCCCTAAAAATATATAAAGCGGTATAGAAATGAAATAAATAAAATAAAATACATTTATGCCAAGGGGTTTCCTATTCCTTTGACTGGTAGAGATTAACAGAGCTATTCTTTGGGAACAATTTCTTCCATTCCCCATTTGCAGTGGATGAGGATCCTTTTAAAATATTGGAGGATTTTTGACTTTCAGATAACAAGTTCTCATAAACGGCCAATCAGGGAGTAAGCTTGATCTGGTCTGGACCGCTTCAGATTCAATCACATCATGACCAAATGCTCTTTGAAGCAAACAACTATTTCCAGTGCTTGTTTTTGGTAAAAATAAAAGGAGGGGCCAGCAATTCATCTCTTGATAAAAAGTGTCGCGGGTGCCAGCACAAAATGGATGCCAAGGGCAGCAAAAAAGAGATGTGATGGTTCTCCCCACAAAAAAACAACCTTGCCTTTCCCCCTGTATTTCCATGCATCTAGAAAGCTAGCTGTTATGCAGCCACCTCTCTGATACATGACGTTTTCTATGTGGGCTCCCCCACCCCGCTCCAATAAATGGAACATTCCATCATGAAAGCACCTACGACAATCTGTAATGGTACAAGTCCAGTCCTTTGGTTAGATAGCACCCTTGACACATCAGCTGAGCCTGAGGAAGACTGCAGGCCAACTGAGCAGTGCCCAAATAATACATACCAGCAATAGGCAACGCGGTGCCCTCGAGATGTTGCCAGGCTCCAAACTCCCATCAGCCCAAGCCAGCCTGGTCAATGCATAAGAGAAACCAGGGTCCAATAATATTTGCACAGCACCAAGCTGGCTACCCCTGAATATATACTCATAAAAGTAAAGTAAAGGGACCCCTGACTATTAGGTCCAGTTGTGACCAACTCTGGGGTTGTGGCGCTCATCTCGCTTTATTGGCCGAGGGAGCCGGCGTACAGCTTCCAGGTCATGTGGCCGGGATGACTAAGCCGCTTCTGGCAAACCAGAGCAGTACACGGACACGCCATTTACCTTCCCGCCACAGTGGTACCTATTTATCTACTTGCACTTTGACGTGCTTTCGAACTGCTAGGTTGGCAGGAGCAGGGACCGAGCAACGGGGATTCGAACCACCGACCTTCTGATCGGCAAGCCCTAGGCTCTGTGGTTTAATCCACATAACTCCCAAATCTGCGGGGAGCCAAGAAGCACTGTACAACCACCAAGGGGTGGGGGCACTGTGTTAGCAGGCCTAGGGAGCCCCTAAGCTCCGCAGAAATGGCAACAAATTAAGAAAGCTAAAAGTAAGGGAGACCCAAACAACTGAAGGGAGAGTCGTAGTTTAGAGCCAGAACATTTGCCTTGCATGCAGAAGGTCCAGGTTCAATCCCCAGCACAGCCAAATAGACCCAGGAGAGAGACACCTGTTTGACATCCCAGAGGGCTGCTGCCAGTCAGTGCAGGCCACTGTTCTACCGATCAACGCTGCCTGATCCAAGGTGTGCTGCAACAGGAGCAGTACTGCCATGCAAATCTATGGGGGAAGAGTAAGAAATGGGTCCCCAAACACACTTTTGGGTTAAAAGGTTGATGATACCTGGCGCAGACAATACCAAGCCAAGTGGGCCCATGGCCTGTATAGGACAGGTTGCTAAGCCCTATGAACGAGGACTGAGGATGCTAACCAACTGCGGAAGGAGTGCCGGGGGGGGGGATGGAATGGAATAGTCTGGAAGAGGGCATGGCTGGCTGGAGCCCTGAACAGGAGTACTCCACATGGCAACATTCTGCTGCAGGTCCGATTGGTCACTTCTGCATTCCGTACTTTTCATATGCGACGCTGCATGGTTGCCAGCCTTGCCCTAGCCTTTGGCAGCAGCCTGGCAGGCTGAAATCCAACAGGCAAAGCTTTTTTTCCTGGATCTGAGAAGTTTGGGAGGAAAAGCTTCAGCGACTTATTAATGCCTCTCGGCCAGCTGTTAACGGCAAAGGAGCCCAGCCCTTAAGAAAAAGAAGGTGGCAACCTTTATTTTCTAGCTTGTGTGGCTGTCATCAGACGGCAGAAAGGATCCCAAAGTGAGTTTGGCCCAGGAGCTAGCTTTCTGGCTGCAAGTCCCAGCTTGCCAGGGAACACGCAGCTCAAAGTTGCAGTGACACTTATGTGAATACAGACCCTTTCTCTGTATTCTCTGTCTCTTACTTGCAGGCTCAACCCCCCCCCAATACTTCCTGGGGTTCAGCTGTTCACTAGGGTATAAAGTTACTGCTTCCTCCCTCCCCACCCCAAATACCCACAAGCCATCCTGGAAGTTTAAAAGGTGCACATTAGCGGTTTAGATGAGCATTTCTTCCCCTTCCCTTCAACAGAGCAGAGGAAATGTGTGAAAGGAAACAGGATCTGGAGCACATCTGTTAGAGAAGCTCGGTTGCAGGAGAAGATTGAGTTGGGGGAGGCGGGAGAAAAGCGAAATACGTAACTCGCAGGGTCTCACGTCTGCGGAGTGGACAGCTCACATCTTCCCATTTACACGGAGGGTGCCCGTCAACAACCAGTGATTCTCCCGTTCCCCGATGACCTGATTCGGAGCATGCAAATTGACTGCAGAGCTAAGATCTATAAATAAACTCCGGGGGCCCCACAAATCGCAGCATCCGACACAAATGCATATCTATCACACACGCAAACAAACTAAATCACACATATATACAATATAGCTCTTTCCAGAATAAGCCACAAAAATAAACCCTGGAAACCTCCAGTCCGAATTAGTCATTGCAATTGCCTGTTGTTTTTCTGCTGCTGTTTTTGGAGGGGAAGCCACTGAACGTGCAAGGGGGAAAAAATGAAAAAATGCAATTCGGGGTTTTAACCCTTAAAGTCCCGCCACTTTTTTTAAAAAAGGAACCTTCAAAATCTTAACGAACTAATGCAAAAAAAAAAGAAGCATTCCTATAAATAAATTGCGGGTGGCTCCCCCGTTTCCTC